CCAACTTGGCAGCACATCAACGGTAGCCTTGGCAAGATAAATCTCCCGAATCTATCAAACGACTGTGAAGATTCTAAACTAACACGAGTCTCATATGTGTCMAGTTTAAGGGTATTACAYAGAAACACACCATAATAACATGAATCAAAYATGTAMTTTATTCATTTACATTAAATGTCATAAGGTACATCATTCTGATTTGAGCTAAGGGCATACACTGTCTAACAGCTCCCACTTGCACTTAGGTCCAATTGGGTACAAGCCGGAGTCTCAGACTTTCCACATGTTTCTCAAACACTTTTTGTGTCATTGGCTTAATCAATGGGTCTCCCACATTCTCTGTTGATTCTACCTTTTAACATCAATCTCCCATAGATCCAGTGTTGTAACACAACAGTGGAATGGGTGATGTGCTGAATTCCAAATTCCAKAATGAACACCTTCATTCATAAGGCAGCCTTACTTACGGCAATGTGTTCGGCTTCGGTTGTAGAATCCGCCATGGACCCCTATTTGCTGCTTTTCCAGCAAACAACATACAATCCTATCGTGAAAACATACCCAGATGTAGACTTTCTATTATTTAGATCTGACTGAAAATCGACATTAGTATACCCCTGGATTTGTGGTGAACTACCATCGAATACCAGACAAAACTCTTTTGTCCTTTGAAAGTACTTAAGTATGTATTTCACACCAGTCCAATGCTCATGCCCTGGGTTGGCCTGAAATCTGCTTACTACACTCACTGCCTGAGTTATGTCAGGATGAGTGCACAGCATGGCATATATGATGCTTCCTACGGCTGAGGCATAGGGAACATTACCCTGAAAGCAAGGTTCACAGGTTGGAAGATCTTCTATAGTTAGAAAATCCAAAGGACCATCCTTTACCAACTTTGTGATACGATCTATGTCAATATGGCCAAGTCAGTAATGCCACAGGCACGTGGGATTAACTGTATCACGAGTTCTTTTCTTGGGGATGTCACCCAATGTAGTTTCGGTTATGTTAGCTTCCAGAGAAGGATGGAGAACATAGAGACCATTCTCAAGTTCTCCGTATGCGATGAATTTGTTATTTCTTTTAATAGTAATCGTATTACTAAAGAGAACAGAATATCCATCCGCACACAGTTTTGAAAAAGAAATCAAATTTCTTCCCAAAATTTGTACATAAAGACAACCTTTCAGTACAATTATTCCTTCTCTGAAACTTAACTCTATGGTTCCCATAGCCATAGCTGCAACACTTGCAGAAGTCCCCAAGTAAAGAGTTACTTCTCCGTCACTCAGTTTTCTTCTTATCCTGAACCCCTGCAGTGAGTTACACGCATGAGTCGATGCCCCAGAGTCAATAGACCAGGAATCAGAAGTTACCAACAAATTGGTTTCTATAACACACGATTCAAAATTACCTTGTCTCTTGGATTCCAGGTACTGAGGACAGTTCCTCTTCTAGTGGCCTGCCTGCTTGCAGAAGTGACAAGCATTTGATGCTTTGTCCTTTTTCTGCTTCTTGGACTTAGCAGCTTTCTTTTGAGGCTTTCTCTTTGTCTTCCTCTTATTCTTGCCTGATTTTCCTGCTTCAACAAGCATGGCAATAGGCTCATCCTTCTTAATCAATTCTTCGGCCCTCTGGAACATATTGCTAAGTTCCTGAATGCTAACATTTAGCTTATTCATGTTGTAGTTCATGATGAACTGATTAAAGGAATGAGGCAGAGAATTTAGGATGGCATCTACCTTCGTGACATGGTCCAGCCCAGATTCAAGAGCCTCAAGTTCATTAATATAACCCATCATATTTAGACAATGGTCATGAACCTACTGGTTCTTGGACATCTACGCGGTCATGAACTGCTTCAAGACCTTCTGCCGAGTAGAATGACTATGCTCTTCATACATTGTCCTCAGACTATCCAAGATATCATTGGACAATTCGATTTGATGGAACTGTCACTATATCGGATTATCCAATGAGGCAATGATGTAGCAGCGGGCTAGGGAATTTTTATCTTCCCATTCCTGGTAGTCCCTCCTACGGGCCTTAGAAGACCTATCACCTGGGCGTTCCGGGGCAGTATTCTTAGCTACTTTGTCTACTTTTTCAGAGGTCAGGACCAGTATAAGATTACGGTACCAGTCAACATAGTTTTGGCTCTTATGTTTGTTGTCATCCAACAATTTAGCGAATTGACCATTTTCCATTTCTGATAAAGGGAAAAACAAAATATTAGTCCACAACCTAATTTGATTCATTTTATCCACATAGATATGGTTTTTAATCTATGTTCCATTTCCATTTATTCATCTCCGAGATTTCCCTCCTATCTCAGTGACGGAGACTGCGAATTATGTCTCTGAAAATGTGGGAAATCACATAGGGTGCATGGAGCCAACTATTTCAGCTGCATAACCCCACCACCTTTCTGTGAAGGATCATTTTCACTCATCTTATGAGCTTTCCCTTTGGCCTCTGTCAGACAAGGTTCATTGCCATTT